GGGGCGGGGGGGGGGGGCACGGGGCGGGAAATCCCAGGAACAAGCAGTGCATGATTTCACTTTTCTGCCTTCTGTTATCTTCAGAACTGGCTTCTCAGCTGGCAGCTGCTGAGTCTCGGTGCAGCCTTTTAGAGAAACAGCTAGACTACATGAGAAAAATGATCCAGCATGCAGAAAATGAGAAGTCGCATCTCTTGGAGAAACAGGTGTGTTCTCAAGATTTTCTCAGGCTAAATTATATAAATCATTAACTGTGTCATGATTTTTTTTTTAGTTGCTATAACTGTAATATCTTTAAGTGTGAATGTCTGTTTCATCTGGCCTTTATATCCTGAGCTGTAGATAATATCCCTCCCAGGACTGTGGCATTTTCTGTCTTTGTGCACGGGTCTCTAGGGCAATATTTGATACTAATAAGAATTGTTGGCTTCTGCATGATTGGCTTACTATGGTAGCTCATCTGTATCCCTCAGTGTTACACCCATGTGCCACTGGGAAACACCTCCCTTTTGTGTTTACGTTTTTCACATCATTGGAGATCATCTTTACTAGTACTACCTGTGCTACACCGGGGCTGAAATACTGATTCTGGAGAATCATAGGATGATTTGGGTTGGAAGGGACCTTAAAGATTTCGTTGCAACCCCCCTGCCATGGGCAGGGACAATAGTAGTAAAATTTCTGTTTCCCACCATCAGTGACTCTGGGATTTGGCCTATATCTAAAATGAGCTTGAATTTTGTTTTATAGGGGATGGATTGCCTGGAGCTCCCTGTTTGTTGTCACTGTGGCTGTCCTATTTCAGTCTATTGAATATTTACTCAGAGGAAAAAATTAAACCTGTAATAGCTGAGTAATGAGTGGTTTGTACCACATTATTCAGAGGGAGGAGAGAGACTGCTGAGTTCTCTCTCATCAGAGTCTGCCTGAGGGCGAGGCTCCCAGCATGGGAGGACCAGTGGTGCAGTTTGCTCCCTCATCGTAGTGCCGTCTGAAATTGCACAGAGGAGCTAGTAGTGCCTTTGGACTGTCTATGGGCCTCCTTTGTGCTGCAGAGACAAGGCTTACTATGGATGGTCTTGGTTTATTGTGCTTATAACTGTGCTTTTCACTTCTCCCTTTAAGGGTTCGTTGGAGAGAGATCGACTTCTCGATCAGTCGCATGTTCAGGCTAAATTGGAAAAGCTGGATATGCTGGAGAAAGAGTACAGCAGGCTTACGACGATGCAGTCCGTAGCAGAGGTCTGTCATTTGTATTGGATACTACATCATACTATTATCTTGCTTATTGTAAACAGCACTTTGTAGTTGTCTGTCAGTAACAGAGCAGAGCAAAACCTTGTGCTGTAGAGAGAGACGCCAACAAAACATCTTTTTAAAGGTGAAGTGTTGCAAAATTTGGGAACTTACTGCTGAAAGTCTCCATGGCCAGGTGGGCTTTAGGTGACTGCACACAAGAAGAGTTGGAATCTTGTTAAGCATTCACAGTACCTGTTGGTGTTCCTCTTGTGGTTAGTTGGTGCCTAGCCGTGCAGGACTGCGGGCATTCCTAAGCTCTCAACTTCTGAGTTGCCTTGTGTGCCACTGAAGGCTAGCAGTTGTATTCTGTTATGATCCAGATTTGACTTGACTTGGTGTGTGTGGTTTTCATTTGTTGGTTGTTTTTTCTTTTCTTTCAGCCATTAGCCCTCCTCCTTAAGAAACACAATTATTACTAGTTATTTTCTGTGCAGAATTCTGGAGCCTGGCATTGCTAGGCCACTAGCCCTGACTGGCTGTTACTGGGTTTGAACCCTTCTCCGGCTTCCTTTTGAATCATTAGCTTTTACAAGTTCTACATGACCATGTTGGGTCATGTTCTTTTGTGGAGGGCTGACCCTGGATGGAGGCCAGGTGCCCACCAAAGCTGCTGTAATACTGCCCTCCTCAGCTGGGCAGGGGAGAGAAAAAATAAAGAAAGGGTCTTGGGTCAAGGTAAGGACAGGGAGAGATCACTCAGCAACTGCTGTCACAGGCAAAACTCAACTTGGGGAAATTAGTTTATTGCCAATCAAATCAGAGTAGGATAATGAGAAATGAAAACTAATTTTCAAACACCTTCCCCCACCCCTCCCTTCTTCCCAGGCTCAGCTTTGCTCCCAATTTCTCTACCTCCTCTCCCCAAGCGGTGCAGGGGAAGGGGAATGGGGGTTGTGGTCAGTCCATTACGCTCCTTCCTCCTAGGGGGAGGACTCCTCACACTCTGCCCCTGCTCCAGTATGGGGTCCCTCCCATAGGAGATAGTCCTCCACCAACTTCTCCAGTGTGGCTCCTTCCCACAGGCTGCATTTCTTCATGACCTGCTCCAGTGTGGGTCCTCCCCCCACAGGGTGTGGTCCTTCGCTCCAGGCTGGGTCCCCTGTGGGGTCACAAGTTCTGCCAGCAAACCTGCTCCAGCCTGGGCTCCTCTCCGCAGAACCACAGGTACTGCCAGGAGCCTGCTGCAGCATGCATTTCCCATGGGTTCACAGTCTTCGGGCACCCACTTGCTCCAGGGTCCTCCCCAGGCTGGGGGGGGTCTCTGCTCCACTGTGGACCTCCATGGCTGCAGGGCACAGCCCTGGGTTGCACCACGGGCTGCTGGGGAATCTCTGCTCCAGCACCTGGAGCACCTCCTTACCCTCCTTCCCCACTGACCTGGGTGCCCGCAGGGCTGTTTCCCTCGCATACTCTCGCTTCCATCTTTTGATGCAGTTGCGCATGGGTTTCTTTCCCCTTCTCAAACATCCCAGAAGTGCTACCACTGGCACTGATGGGATCAGCCTTGGTCAGCGCTGGGTCCATCTTGGAGCTGGGTGGCATTGGCTCTGTAGGACACAGGGGAAGCTTCCAGCAACTTCTCACAGAAGCCACCCCTGTAGCCCCACTGCCACCAAAACCTTGCCACACAAACCCAATACATACTCTCTGTGTAGTGTCTGTGTTGTTGGGTTCTAATGTCCAGTCCATATACCAGTATTTAATCTGCAGAGATACGACCTGGCCCTCTAAGTATAACCTTTGAGCAATTTGCCAGTGTTAGTATTGCCTATGAAAAGGAAATGCTGAGACTCCTAGTTATGTGAAGTACTTGTAATTGGAGTACATGCCTCAAAAGCATTCTCTAGTTTGTCTGTTGCAACTGTAGTCCTGCAGTGCAGTCTCTGAATGTGTCTCCCCCATGCCTCGCAGAAGGCAAGGGCAGGGACTGGGAGAATGGAGAGCTGCCCATGGTTAGAGAGAATCAGATTCAGGAGTACCTGAGGATCCTGAAGGTGGACAAGTCCATGGGACCTGGTGGAATACATCCGCGGGTCCTGAAAGAACTGGCAGATGAGGTTCCTAAATCTTTATCCATCATATTTTTTAAAACTGGGGAAAGAAAGAGGATTCAAGGAACTACAGGCCAGTCAGTCTCACCTCTGTGCCTGGAAAGATCATGGAGCAGATCCTCCTGGAAATCATGCTAAAGCACGTGGAAAATGTGGTGACAGCCAGCATGCCTTCACCAAGGGCAGATGATGCCTGACGAATATGGTGGCCTTCTACGATGGGGTCACAAACTTAATGGGTAGAGGACGGGCAAACAATGTCACCTACCTGGACTTGTGCAAAGCCTTTGACACCATCCCACTGGACATCCTTGCCTCTAAATTATGGATGGTTTTGATGGCTGGACTGCTTGGAGGATAAGGAACTGGCTTTATGGCCACACTCAGAGAGTGGTGATCAACTGATCAACGTCTCAGTGTCTGAGTGGACACCAGTA